ACATTCTCCAGGGCACCCCAGGTTAGGCCCGGGTTTCTCTGGGGGATTCAGCCCCCTCCCCCCTCCTTGCACTCTTCCTTTGCATTAGCATCTCTGGCAGCCACGGCTCCCATGACTCACCCTGGATCCATGTTAAAGACCCCAGGCTTGTCCCCAGGAGGCCTGGGGAGCAAGCATGCCTCTCTCCAGCTGTCATCCCCTCTTGCCAATCCCATCTCCAGGAGTCCTGGATTCAGGCCTCTTTCCAGCTGCCCATTCTTGAAAGTCTAATTTGCAATGACTTAAAACAGTTTTTTAAAAATTTAAAAACATTCTTCCACCCAGCCAGCGTGGCTCAGTGGCTGAGCATCAACCTATGAACCGGGAGGTCACGGTTCCATTCCCAGTTGGGGCACATGCCTGGGTTTTGGGCTCGATCCCCATTGTGGGGCCTGCAGGAGGCAACCAATTGATGATTCTCTCTCATCACGGATGTTTCTATCTCTCTCTCTCCCTCTCTCTTCCTCTTTGAAATCAATAAAAAATATTTTTTTAAAAAATAAGTAAGTAAATAAATAATAAAAACATTTTTCCAATGGACATTCCACTGTGTGGAAGGGATATAATGTAAAGTTGGGTACAGCTAGCAGGTAAGTGCCTGGGCCAAGAGTCAGGGAAGTTGGGGCTCCTCTGCAACACACAAGTTGCTCTATGTCTCTGGGCCTGTTCTCACATTTGTAAAATGGGGATAATAATAATAGTTCCTACCTCCTTGGGGGTGCTGAGCATTAAATGCGCAAATGCATGTGAAGTGCTTAGTACAGGACCTAGCACATAGTAGGAACTTACTCGTTGTTTAATAACAGTAACACTCCCTCCTTTGCACAGTGTTTTGCCGTTTTCAAAGCAGCCGTCTGGGCCAAAAGGAGGAATCTGGAGGAGAGGGGTCAGGACTTCCACACCTACCCGGGGTCACAGGGACAGAGAGCCCTGGGCCCACAGGATTTGAGACCAAAGCGCTTGTTTGTGGCTTGGTCCGGGAGAAAGCCCCAAACCCTGCTCAATAGTGGGATTCCCAGCCCAATATCTAGGTGTGTCCCCGTTGTTGCCATCGTGTCACAGTACCAGGCCCACTCAGATTTTCCTCTGGGAAGTCTCCAATGTGGCCACATACAGGGTAAGGTGAAGTAAAAAGGCGAGGAAACAGCCACAATGCAAATGTGGCTGCCCTGGCAGGAAGGAGGAGACTGAGGGGTGCTGCTGGAGAGCGGGCTGGGTTCTGTTTCTTGGCCTGAGCCAGCTGCAAAGGTGTTTGCTTTACAGGTATTTGTTATATTGTACATTCCTGTCTTATGCACACGTCGGAATGTACCCCATATTTCACTCTGGCATGAGATTTTAATAAACTGACAGGTGAGTGAGGAGAGGGAGTCGCTACAGCTCAGCTTTGCGCAGTGCAAGTGCCTGGGGACGCCTGGGAGGGGGTCCCAGAGGCTCTGAGTCAGGGATGGGGCTGAAGAGCTGCCACAGAGAGGGAGGAGAGGGTGACCTGAGGAGGCGTTAGCACAGCTGCAGGTTCGGAAGGTGTCTGCCCTGCAGGCGCCTGGCTGCCCTTCAAGCTATTCTCCCCGCCTTCCCACCCTGGCAGGTGGCGCTTGAGCAGATGGCTGGGAGTCTATTGGCACAAGCGGTGTCATTTTAGGTGATGCACTTCCTGGGCTTCCATCGTCCGCTTTTAACACTCCAGCTGTCTCCTTGCCCTGGGCTTCTAGCCCTGGCCCTCAAAGATGCTTCTCTGTTCAGAGGCTGGGCTGAGTCCCCTCAAGCCTGGGAGCAAAGGGTAGCCCAGGCCTGGGCTCCATCAAGAGCTCTGTCAGCCCCCAAGTGATCCATGTGCTCTCAGGCCCTCCCTGCCTGTTTGGGGCTGGGGGTGAGCTGAGGGGACTAGCTATGCTGGGGGTAAGGGTGGTGGCAATGCAGGGGCTGCGGGTGCCCCACTGGGCTCAGCCCTGGTCCTGAGTGGCATCAAGCTGGCCCGAGGCCCCTGGTTGGCTGGCATTTCCCACAGGCCCATGCCAGCACCCAGACAGCCTGGCAGAGGTGGTGGACATTGGCATTCCCTCCGGCAGTGACCAAGCAGGCACCTGGCCTTTACCTCCTGCGTTGCCCCTCCTAGTCTCCCCGCCTGCCTCCGCCGGGCCAAGCTTCCCCGGCGCCCTTCGGGGTGAGCTGAGTGTCTGTGTGTCTGGGTCTGCACAGGGGACCCTCAGCTATCCCAGGTCTAAGGCAGGGCCCAGACTGGCGTAGGGCAGGCAAAGAGCAATGCTGTGTCTCAAGTAACTGGGCCTGTTGCTGCCAAAAGTATGTGGAGTAGCAGAGAGTGGAGGACTGTGGACTGGGGTAGGGCTGGGGGTGGACCGCCTGGCTTCAAATTCCAGCCCCGCTGCTTAGGAGGTGTGCGATCTGAGCCATGCCCCTTCTCTGCTCTGCCTCTGTTTCCCCATCTGTAAAACGGAGTATGAAGTAGCTCCCTCAATAGCCCCGACACTGTGGCATCATCATTTTAGTACATGTGCTGCTGAAGCGAGCACTGGCATCATCATTTTAGAGGAGAGTGAACAGACTCAGGGAGGTCAGGTACCTGCCCCAGCTCCCCAGCTGGATAAAGCAGACACTTAACCCAGTCTGCATCTGAATCCAGCACCCAGCCTGCTAACCCCGAGGCCACTCAGCTGCCAGCCATGAGGAGGCCAGGGAGCCAGTGCTTGTTGTCATGGGGAGGAGCAGGGGGCAGGCAGGAGAGCCCTCCCCGGGGAGCGTGAGGGAACCGTCCCCGCTATCCCAGGCTCCTTTGGGTGGTTGGAGCCAGGGGCCACCCCTGAGCCACTCCCAGCAGCCAGTGGAAGGTCCAGCCTCCAGGACTCCAGGTCACAGCCCTCTGCCAGGCAGGGCAGGAGGTGGGCATGTGGGATGCTGTGCCAGGGCACTGGACTGAAGGGACCCAGCAGGAGGCTTGTGCAAAGGTGGGTCTGTCGGGGGAGATGGGTGCCACAGGCGTGTGTGTGTGTGTGTGTGTGTGTGTGTGTGTGTGTGCACGGACACACGAAGGCATGCTCAGGTAAGCATGATCCCTGGGTGCAGGCCCTCAGGTGTGGGGAGAGAGAGCAGCAAGGGTGGGTGGGAGGGGAGATGCAGGCACAACTCAGTGCTGGGGGGACTGCAGGTAAAGGGATACCTGGGAAAAGCCCTGCAGTCCGCTGGTGACTGGAGCTGTCCCATTAGGTGTTGTGGGCTCAAAGGCCTCACATAAGAAGCAAAACCCGCTGCCCACTCCTCACTGTAGCTCCTCTCCAGGCCCTCGCTGTGCCAGCCTGCTTCGTTTGGCAGACTGCACGCCTTAGCCACGGGTACTGGAGAGGAAGGGGCTGACGGGGCAGGGGGCAAGCCAGCAGATAGACAGGGCGCAGGGCTTCTGGACTAGGGTCCTGGGGTCTGAGTCACCGCTGTCCCCAGCAGCCCAGGGGGGTCCACAGACCCCCTGGAGGAGGTGAGGGCTGGTGTCCAGACCCTTGACTCCCGACATTTCCCAGGCCTGCCTCTCCTGTCCTCTCATGCTCCCCAAGCCCCCCTCACCTGGCCAGATTCCATCTGCCCGCCCCAGAGGAATGGAGTGGTCACTAGCCCCCCAGGTACCCTTCTTGCAATCTTGCCCCCACCACACCCTTAGAGTGGCCCCCTGAGCGTCTGTCCCCCAAAACTAGAGTCAGTGCTGCTGCATTTCGGCTAGAGATGGAGGTGAAACTGGGAGGACCTCCTGCCATGGGTGGGCCTTGCAGAGCCTTCAACAGGGAGGCCCTGGCCAGTGTGACTCGGTTGGTTGTGCTGCAGACCATGCCCTAAAAGGCTGCAGGTCCCATTCCCAGTTAGGGCACATGCCCGGCTTGCAGGCTCCAATCCCCAGTAGGGAACGTGCAGGAGGCATTGATGGGTCAGTCAGTGTTTCTCTCTCTCCCCCTCCTTTCCTCTCTCTTTAAAATCAAATTTTAAAATATTTTCTTAGAGTCTTTTTAAAAATATATTTTTATTGATTTCAGAGAGGGAGGGGAAGGGAGAGAAAGAGATTGAAACATCAATGATGAGAGAGAATCATTGATCGGCTGCCTCCTGCACGCCCCCTGCTGGGGACTGAGCCTGCAACCTGATCATGTGCCCTTGACCGAAACCGAAGCCAGGACCCTTCAGTCCTTAGGCCGATGCTCTATCCACTGAGCCAAACAGGCCAGGACTAAAAATATTTTTAACAAAGAAACCCCTGGACCTTTGGACAGGGTGAGCATGGGGTAACCCGCCCCTGTGGTCACCATTCCCTGTGGGAAGGAGGCTCAGGCTCACTCTGCTAGCCCAGCCCCAGGTGGGGACCAAGGGCCAGCTCCCAGGCCACCCCTTCAGTCCTCAGGGTTGGATGGGATAATATTACCCCTCTTCTTGTGGGCAAGTCCACACGCCAGATACAGTGCCCCTCATTGTTAGCTGGCCACAGGCCTTTGTAACACTGTAGCCTCTGCCTCCTTTGTCCTCTCTCTCTCCCAGTAACACAGTAACTCATTCTGAGTCCCTCCTGTCAGCCACACCCACATTTCTGGGCCTGGCTCCCCGCTCTCCCCAGCTGTGTTTGGGCTGGGCCTGGATGCCCACAGTGCCTGCCTGCTCCTCACCAGCTGCTGGGGTAACATCTGAGCCCGCCAGGCCTGGCGCCAGGGTCCCCGACCCTGACAGGAGTCGAGGAGCCTCGTGCGCCAGGTGGGGGCCTGTCCCAGCTGTCAGCACCCATGATGGATGAGGAGTGGGGCGGGGGGCAGGCCAAGGACTGGGCGCCTGCTGCAGAGGGAGGTGGGGGCTGGCCCCCCGGGGTCTGCCAACAGAGCCTCTGTCACTCACAGCGGGGGGCCTGGGTAAGGGCCCCCACCCAGCAGAGGTGTTTAAAGGCTCAAAGGGTGTGTGCCCTCCCACTCTGCCAGGAATCATGGGCACCTGGGCCTTCCCCGCAGCCCTTTTCCTGCTCTGCCTGACTTCTGAAAGCCTGCAAGGCGGTGAGGGCAGGCCTCGGGCAGCTACAGGGTCTGGGCAGCTGGGGTTGGAGCTGGGGTTATAGGTAGAACATTAGGTCAGAGGCTGGGACTCCAAGGGGGAGGGTGGGTGTGAGAAGTCTGGGTTTTGGGGGGCTGGGGCATATATGCATGGGTCCTGCCCCTCTCTGCCTCTGGGTCCCCACTCTGAGTCAGCACTCCCTGCTCCCCAGGGCTGCCTTCATTGTCGTCTGGCCTAGGAAAAGGTGAGTGGACCCTCCAGGCACTGGGGTTCAAGAAGAGGACCTGGTCTCTCCTCCCGGGGGTCTGGGAGCTCTCTGGGGGCAAGCCCCACATATCCCCCAGCTCTGGGATCCAGACGCGGAGCCCAGGAGAGCAGGTCCCTCCCTGTCTTGTCCAGGGTCAGCTCACGTGTGGGAAGCACAGGAAACCTTAGAACAGAGTGAGATCGGGCAGAATTTCAGCCCTGGGCGTGAGAATACGGGAGCCCAGAGGAGGGGCGTGGAGCCGGGTCTGGAAGGGCCGGGGACTGGGTTATAACAGGACAGGAAGGAAATCACTGGAAGCGAGAGGGTCAAAGGCCTGGAGGTGGGACAGGATGGGAGGGGAGGAGGCTGGAGCGTGGGGAGGGGAGTAGGGGGCATCTTACGGGCTGGAAAAAGGGTTCCCTCCGGAAACCTAATGTGTCTCAGCTGCTGGAGAGGAACGCTGAGGGACCAGGGTGAGGAGGATAAGATCTCCAGGAAAGGAGGGTCCCAAAGATGCTCCAGTGAGCATGCAGGGAAGAGGTGCACACCCCTGAGGAAGAGGGCATGGGGGCCTACCCCCCCCCACACACACACACAGCCCAGACAGCCCCCTCTAGGCCACCAGCCTGCTCACCTGGTTCTGTCCTTGCTCCTCCAATGACCAGAGTAGAAAGCGAGTCCCGGGGCGGGGGGGCACTCTTGCTCTGCAGGGTGGGAGGGGAGCCCCAGATTTGGCCCTCCTTGCCCCTCCTGGTTACCCCTTCTCCCTGACCTTGCAGGCTTAGGGAGCCCGAATGGCTACAGACCAGGTAAAGCTGAGGGGGTGGGCAGCTCCTATCCTCCAAGCGAGGGCAGAGCACCCTGGCTCCTGGGCCCTCCTGCCCCCTTGGGCCCCACACACCATCCCCACCCCCGGCTACCCTCTCCCAGTGGCCGGGGAGTAGGTAAGGGGTGGGTAAATAGGATTTGGGGGGCAGCCATCTCCAAAGTACCTGACACCCCTCAGGCAGAGAAGCCCACCTGAGACCCCTCCAGCAGGCGCTCTCCTTCCCCTCCTGCACACACTGCCCCCCACCCCCCCACGAACCCATCAAAGCTGTTGTGTCATCAAACGCATGTACCCTGCCCCTCACTGCGTGGCCCCCAGGCCAGTTGGGAGCAGGCTTTGTGGGGGTGGGGGGAGGTGAAAGGGAGAACCTGGGTCCCTCGACTGTTCCCTGAGTCTCCCCCAGGCTTCAGAGCCCTGCCCAGCCCCCGCTGTCTCTGTCTGTGTCTCCCCACCTCCTCTCACACCCCTCACCTCTATCAGTCCCCCCAGGATTTGGGGACAGGAATGGCCTGGGAGTCCAGCCAGGTGAGAGTGATGGGGTCTGGGTTGGTCCTCTCCTTGCTCCCTCCCAAGCCTCAGAGGGGAGGGGGAGGGTTGGTTAATGATTCGGGGTGGGTGGGGGTGCAGAGATTGGGAGCCTTCAGGTTTGCGGTTTCTGGCTGGGTCCAAGGATCCTGCACACCCAGCCCATCTAGGACCCCAAACCTCCCAGATGATTCCTCCCTCTCCCCATAGCCCTCCAGCTCCGAATGGCTACAGCCCTGGGAGAGGTGGGCCCAGAGAGTGTTTGGGGGGAGTTGGGACCAGTACTCTAGGGGCATCCCTGAAATGGGGTCTCTTCAGACCCTCACCTGATCCATCTCCTTCTCAGGCATTGGAGGGGGGAAACCCCACAAGCCAGGTGAGCCCTCCCGCTGCTTGTCTCCCGTCTGTGTGCCCTGCCGCCCCGCCCCCCGTTGCTCTCTGCTCCTTGATGACCCCTCCTGCCCCGTCTCCTCAGGGTTTGGGAATGGGATCGGGCATGGAGCAGGGGCCTTCCCAGGTGCCGCAGCCCAACCAGGTGAGGTGGGGC